ATATTTTCGAGGATTTTTCCATGTTTGTTGCATGTTTTATATGCTTCGTAAACATATATACAGACGTGACACGCTCCTCCATAACGACTGTAGGAGAAGATACTGCAGCCGGTGGAAGCTTCGGTTGGCAGAGCTGTTTTTTTTTCTTTTCCTCTCCTCTTTTCGCGCGGCCTACGGTCACATCAAATTGAAACATCAGTTCTCGTACAATCATAGAAGTTAAGCAACGTCGAGCCAGGTCAGTACCTAGATAGACGACCTTTTGGGAATACCAGGTGCTTTAAACTTGGACGTACGTGTGGTTTAAAGAATAATAGCCCGGAAATATTAATCGGAGAGCCAAGTACCAATTCCAGTTGAGTTCATTATACACTCTTACGTACAAATACCCTTTTGAAAGGCATTAATCCACCTTTTCTCTCTCCAGCTATGGGTTAATAATTAAGACTTGTATCATTAAGCCATTATTTTCTCAAAAATAAAATTACGTACAAAAGGGTTGGGCAACTTTTTTGAGCTTTCAGAGCTTTGGCCGGCTTTGGTGCATGCTAAAACCGGCCAAAGCTCTGACATGAAAAATATTTGAAACCTCAAAACTAGCAGCAAGTAAGTTGGATCTACCTGAAATAAAGTTCATAAAAATAGCAGCCTGTTTTTTTTTTTTTTTTTTTTTGTCTTGGTCAGTTCGCGAGAAATTCATTCTCTTTTTTCTTCTTCAGTTTTATTACTTAAGTTCTTATGAACATTTTCAAACTGTTCCTTATCTGAAGAAGTCCTACAAACGATTCTTTCGGAGCAGAAAATGCATAAGGCTTTATTTTCTTTATTATACCACATTTTTCAGTCCAGTATTTTAAAAATTCTCTAATAACTTTTTCATTTGAATGACATCATTTCTTAGGTAATGATCGTAAGATTCTGCACAATCTGTAAAGGGAAGAAAATAAAAGTATATGAGATAATGATAGACATGAAAGAGGAGAAAGAATAAAAGGGAATCTAATGAATAAGTTTCGCATGCCAGAAATAAGTCATCGGTGTGCCATGTTTGGCACGCATGCCAAGGTTTGCCGATCCTTGACGTACAAAACATTTCACTTTCGGCATTAGATAAATAATAATGTGTGTGTTTCATTTCAGCGATGAAATACAACGATTTAGAAAGGAGACAATGTTGAAAACTAAAATTAGATTTCTAATACCTTTCTATCTATCTATCTACCTTTCTATCTATCTATCTATCTATCTATCTATCTATCTATCTATCTATCTCATTGATTGAGAAGAAAGGAAACTATATTGACAATTAGATTTGGAATCCCGAAACTTTGGTGTTCACTTTGTTATTCATTGTGTTATTCGACTATTAATTTTGTTGCAATTAAAGAACGGGCATAACTTTTTGATTGACTCTCGTACCGGACCATATGTGGCAGCAATATCCTAGACATGAAGGAATGGTAGACTTATAGGCATGTAAGATTCTGTAGATAAAAATTGTCTCGTGTGTTCATCCTATTATTAAATCTGTTATAATTAAAGAAAAAGGATTGCTCGTAGCCATCCATCTATCTCAGTCTATTCATATCTATCTATCTATCTATCTATCTATCTATCTATCTATCTATCTATCTATCTGAGTGATCTATCTATCTATCTATCTATCTATCTATCTATCTATCTATCTATCTATCTATCTCTCTTCGTCTGTTCATCTAAGTCTGTTCGTATCTATCTATCTCTCTATTTAAGTCTGTTCGTATCATTCATCTATCTATCTATCTATCTATCTATCTATCTATCTCTTAGTTCGTATTTATCTATCTCAGTCTGTTCGTATCTATCTATCTATCTATCTATCTATCTATCTATCTATCTATCTATCTGAGTGTTCTATCTATCTATCTATCTATCTATCTATCTATCTATCTATCTACCTATCTATCTATCTATCTATCCATCTATATCTTCGTCTGTTCGTATCTAAGTCTGTTCGTATCTATCTATCTCTCTATTTAAGTCTGTTCGTATCTATCTATCTATCTATCTATCTATCTATCTATCTATCTATCTTAGTCTGTTCGTATTTATCTATCTCAGTCTGTTCGTATCTATCTATCTATCTATCTATCTATCTATCTATCTGAGTGTTCTATCTATCTATCTATCTATCTATCTATCTATCTATCTATCTATCTATCTATCTATGGTGAAATACATTGATTGCGAAGGAAGGAGGTAATATTAAAAGCTAAATGTGGAATACTGAAACTTTTGTATTCCCTTTGGTATACATTGTTTGCTTCGACTGTTAAATATGTTTTACTTAAAGAAGAACTAGGCAGTTATTTTTGACTGACCCTCGTACCACAATTCGGAAGAAAGTAGACAATTTTGAAAACTAGATTTGAAATCTTGAGAAATCGCTGTTTATTTTGGCATACCTTTAGCGCTTGGACTAATAAACCTGTTGTAATTAAAGAACAGGCATTACTTTTTGACCGACCTTCGTCGTACTTACTGGAAACCTTTACTAAACTTGGTATATATCTTCATCTGCTTAGTACCTCACTTTACAAAATTCATAAATAGTATAAAAATGTTCTAAAAATATAAAAAGGCATCAATAGAATAAAAATCATTGTATAAAACTGGGATGAAAATCTTATAAAATCTACCCCGGTGGTTCAGTTCGAAATTTCAATCACCTGAAGAAGGCCGGAGCGTACGACGTCCGAAACGTCGTGAATATGGTAACATAGATAAGAACAATAGTCCAATCAATGTAAATAGTGTAAATCATTCTTTCTATTTCTGCATATTTTTTGTTGAGCCATTCCTTTTTAACCTGCCTGCATCTGTTCCTGATTTATGTGTGTTGTGTATTATATTCTGTTCCGTGTCTTGGAGTTGTTTTTGCCTCCATGTAGATAATTTCATCTGTCATTCATTCATTTTTTTTCCTTCGTCTATTTTCTTTTGGGATGTCCTCCATTGCTTATGTTGCTAAAGCTTATCTTAATGTGTACCCCTTCAAGTTTCCATTCTCATTTTGTCTTTCGTATCTGCTTTGCGCACTGTCCATATATTTCTCCTTAAGATTCAAATCGTTCAAGAGTTTGCCGTATTGAAATTTAGACTTCTTCAATTTCCGTTATTATGCTCCAAGTTTACAAATCACTAGGAGGTTATCGCTTCCACAATCTGCATCCCCTGCCGAGAAATTATATCACATATATCTACACAGTAAGTTTAAGAAGAAACAAAAGAAAGGGTCTTACATATAATATGGAGATACTCCTTTATCTGGAGGAGCCCTTAAAGGACTCCAGATTCAAACGGGCTGGATCATCTATGTCCCAGGAAAGGATATATTTTACGAACAGGAAACAGTGAATTTTGGGCTTTCAAAAGATTGAGGACTGCGAGCTGGGGTTTCTTTTTATATCTGGGAAAGATATATTCCCAAAGGTAAACGGCATCATGGAATTGTAAGCTAGCTCAGATGTGGCACAAAGTGGGCAAAATATGGGGCACACAATGAGGATCGAACACAGTACTCAGTCATAACAGTTCTAGCGAGATAAGCTTGCTAAACATTACACCGCCTTGAGGTGTCCTTTAGTGATTTTTCCAAGCTTACCTCAGATGTGGCACAAGGCCGAAAGTAGGGGGCACCCAGTAAGGATCGAACACACTACTCAGTCGTAATTGTTCTAGCGTGACAAGCTTGCTAAACATTACATCATCTCGAGGTTGCACCCCGACAAAAAAATTATGTCATATATGGAATGGATATTTGCTGAGTCATTATTATGTATTTATTAAGTCATTATTTTTCCAATTATTCTAAAGTTATTTACAATGTGTGTATAGTTATGTAACATTCATATATATGTAGAGTATGTAGTAATTTATAAAATGTTTATATTATATTTATTCTTTTTAAAATGTCTTTTTCACCTGCATTTGTTTTAAAATCACATGCTGGGTCATGACCTATGACCTCGAGAAAGCGAAGCATGTGACCTTTTGTTGTTTTCTCTTAATTAAACAAGAGAAATAAACAAAGGTCTTAGCCGTGACACTTGGAACTAATTCGGGGATTTCTTGGGGAGGTAGTGCAACAGGGATTTCCTTGATTTCTTTTCTCTATCAGACATTATATATATATATATATATATATATATATATATATATATAAAGAAAGAACAGTAAGATATATAATCCGGTGTTCTTATAGATATTTTTATTCCATTTTTGAAACATGGTTAGAACTGTGTAGCGAAAAAAAAACATATTTTAAATCAATTAAAGTGATCATATTGAAACGGAACGCTGATCTTGAAAAATTTCAGTTATCTTTTTTGATCAGTCTTACTCTTATGTCCATCGTCTTTTCATGTTGAATTGAATATAGTCTAATGTTTATTATGTTTTATGAATATGTCCTGAAGATGGTCTACTAGACCGAAACGTCCGACGTTGACATTATATTAACATTAAAACAGCATAATTGCATATTAGGATTTTTGTTTGTTTTTCTGTATATTTTTCTTCATATATATATATATATATATATATATATATATATGTCAAGGGGGTCGCATCACACACGAGATATAAAATTAGCGTATATACTGCTGGCCCTGGCTACGTCATTGATCAAACTATATAGCCATTTGTTATAGTTAAATTAGGTCTTCAAAGGCCTCATAATCCTCGAGCATATACGGTAATCACAAGCCAGGTCTTAACCAATGACTTAAGGCAAGCGATGTGATTTTTTGTTCTTTCAACTTAATTAAACAAGAGAAGACTATATGTTAAGGGGGTTGCATCAAACACGAGATATAAAATTAGCGTATGGATTCCTGGCCTTGGCTACGCCGTTGATCAAACTATATAGTCATTTACTGTAGTGAAATTAGCTTCAAAATCTGCTATTCTGATGTGATTTTTTGTTATTGCCACTTAATTAAAAATTGTCAGAATTGTCCATTCGTTCTTTCATTCTTTATTTCACTATCATCAACAGCGTCTTTGACGTAGGCTTTTCTTCTGTCTTTCTTCGTAATTTAGATAGAATTTTCTATTGTTTTTCCTGTCTGTACTGGTATCGCATGAATTACGTTGGTACTCACCATAAATACTTGAAAATCGGTTAATGACCGAACCCCAGAATGGTGCTAACCAAGAGTAATCAAAATAGAAGATAAATGTCCGTTGTTGTTATAGAAAGACTCCGTGTGCAAGAGATAAAAAAAAAGCTATTAAATGATGAGTTAACAAGGACAATAACGATAAAATTTTTGCAAAAGATCAACACGACCAACTCTATAAGTTCCCCAACTGATACAGATCAGATTTGTCTATGTATGGTGTAATTAGCCATGTTTACCGTATATACTCGCATATTAAAATCTTTTGATAATCTAATTTTGAAACTAATTTTAAGAGGGTCGTATCATACACGCGATATAAAATTAGCTTATGGACTGCTGGCCCTGGTTACGCCGTTGCTCAAACTATATAGCCATTGACTGTAGTTAAATTTGTTTCAAAACTAAATCTTCAAATGTCGCCTCTCTAACCAAGCAATTAGAAAACATAATGGACGAAATGGAAAGACCTATGAACCTGACAGAAATTAATCATCATATATACGCAACCTCGGCAACGATCGGAGAAACAATAGGTGGAAAAGGTCACATAGACCTTGTGTATATACGGTAATCACAAGCCGGGTCTTAACCAATGACTTAAGTCAAGCGAAATATGTGATTTTTTGTTGTTTCCACTTAATTAAACAAGAGAAAACTATATGTTAAGGGGGTTGCATCGCACACGAGATATAAAATTAGCCTATGTACTGCTGGCCTTGGCTAAGCCGTTGATCAAACTATATAGCCATTTGTTATAGTTAAATTAGCTTCAAAATTAGGTCTTCAAAGGCCTCATAATCCTTGAGCATATACGGTAATCACAAGCCGGGTCTTAACCAATGACTTAAGGCAAGAGAAGGATGTGATTTTTGTTGTTTCCACTTAATTAAACAAGAGAAAACTATTAGCAAAAACAGTGTTTCTTCCTGGTAAGAACGTTTATTTACTGTATTTAAAAATACAATTGTGGCACAAGGCCAAAGGGGGAGTAGGGAAGGGTTGGTCATCGCTGACTATCCGACACCAACCTAATCTGATTCGTGACCCATTCATTCATACAATTGTCTCAATCACCACAAGAACTCATCCATCACAATTCAATCCAATATATACCACAATACGGCATATTCACAGGGATCCCACTAAAACATCCTGACATAAGAAATATTTCTGGTAAGAAAGAATGAATATGTGTTGGGGAGGCGGGGTTTTGGTATTCATTTCGGTAATTTTAAACAATAAAATAACATTACATAATAATAATAATAATTTCAGAATTAAGAAAGAACCGTTAACTGAAGGAAACCATCAACCTCTCTAAACAAGCAATTAGAAAAATAAAAGACGAAATGGAAAGACCTATGAACCTGAGAGAAATTAATCATCTTATATACGCAGCCTTGGCAATGATCACAGAAACAATAGGTGAAAAAGTAAAAGCACAACGTAAACGAAAAAAAAATGCCAGTCTGGAAAGAAAAGATAGAAACTAAAATAAATAAACTACGAGGAGAATTGTCACTTCTAAGTAGACAAGGAGTCCAAAATGAAAAAGAAATACAAAGGAGACAACTGAAACGAAGCCTTGACATAAAGAATAAATGCCTCAAATGGCTCACGTACAGACCTACTCCCACAGACAGAAGAGACGGAGAACTATAGGCCCATCACCTGCCTACCAACAATGTACAATATCCTACAAAAACACCCATGACAAAGGAAATATTCCTGGTAAGAAAGAATATGTGTTGGGGGTGCGGAATTTGGCATTCATTCCCGTAATTGTAACCAATAATATAACATTACATAATAATAATAATAATAGTTTCAGAAGTAAGAAAGAATCGTCAAGTGAAGGAATCACCATCAGCCTCGGCAACAATGACAGAAACAATAGATGAAAAAGTAAAAGCACAACGTAAACGAAGAAACAAAATGTCAATCTGGAAAGAAACTAAAACAAATAAATTATGAGGACAATTGTCACGTCTAAGTTAAGTAGACAAGGAGTCCAAAATGAAAGAAATAAAAAGGTGACAACTGAAACGAAGCCTTGACATAAAGAATAAGATTGGCGTATTAAAAGTTAGAGAAGCTGAAACAACAAATTCAAGCGAAATCCCAGAGAATCAGACGTTATGAAGAAAGAAACAGATTTTTGTGACAAAACAAGATCTTCAAAGAAACTATATCAAGAACTTGGAAAAAATAAAATAGAGATAAATGACACACTTAATATCCAGAAAGTCGAGGAGTTATTGTGTAAGATGTGAGAAAACTGCAAAATGCACAATGAATGAGCTACATGGATCAAACAACAGGAACAACACACACATATAGAGGGCCAAATTTGGACGGATATCAATATTAGCGAAACAAACGCTGACATATACAAAAGCAAAAACTGGAAAGCACCAGAAATAGACCGAATAGCCAATTTTTGGATAAAAACCTATCTAGCACCCACCAAGACCTCGCACGGGCTTACAATGATATAATCATAAATCCAGAAAAATGTCTCAAATGGCTCACGTAGGAAGTAACAGATTTACTCCGAAAGACAGAAGAGACGGAGAACCCGAAGAACTATAGGCCCATCACCTGCCTACCAACAATGTACAAAATCCTCACTTCTATCATAACCGAGAGGACATACAACTCCCTTAAGAAAAACAATTTAATTCCAGCAGAATAGAAGGCGTGTAAAAGAGGAAGATATGGGTGCAAATACCAACTAATTATCAATAAAACAATATTGGAAGAGATGAAAACAAGGAAAAGAAACTTATCGATAGCATGGATCGACTACAGAAAAGCGTTCGACAGAGTACAACACTCATGGATAGAGAAGAGCTTAAAAATATACAGAGTATATCCCACAACGGTCAAATTTATAACGGAGAAAATGAAAAACTGGAAGACTACACTAAACCTAAACCATACAAACGGGTCATTAACATTGAAACCAATCAACATCAAAAAGCGGGATCTTCTGAGGAGATTCATTGTCACCACTATTCTTCAGCCTTGTATTAGCGTCACTCAGCAACAGTAGCTACGGATACAAGTCACAGAACGGCAAGCTAAATCACTTATTCTATATTGAAGATCTTAAACGTTTGCCAGGGGTGACAACCAGTAAACAAACCTACTCACCATTTGTTGCAGTTTTTGCGTATATCTATGTACTAGTGAGTTAGCCCAAATGACTTGACTCACTTTATAGTCCACCAATAGAAGGTTAACCAATCAGAAGACGTAGAATATTCAATCCGTCGTGTATAAAAGCGGCCATTTTGTTCACTCTACCCGAATGTCCAGTTCAGCTTGTCAGGCGAAGAGAAACAGAAGGACGAACTATGCTCTGCTACTTTTACCAAAATATCCTCTGCTAACCTGAACAACGCTTTCCTACTGTCTTCGAAATATTCACTGCTAACATCTGGATTCTATACTCGAAGACGACCGTCATCATGAATAACACCATTGTCAAAACCAAAAAAGGATTTCCGCATGTGATAAGTCCGAGAAAAGAATCTGTTAGAATAGAAGTGGCCGTTATACCTACCTAGTTCAACAGAGACCTAAGTGCCAATTTAGCAGCACACTTGAATTCATGTAGTCGAGGAACTAGAGAGAAATCTCATCACAAAATTTACCATTAAAATATTTGTAGAAAAGACAGGGGGAAGCCACATTTCTATGTACCACGCTCCTTCAAGGCGTAGGCAGTCATGGCTCTCCACAATTTTCTGCTCTTTGCAGCTATTAATAAATCTTATCATGTGGTCATTTCTCCTAAATCTTTTTTCGCTATACATTTATTCAAGTTCACTAAGTATGTTATGCGTTGTTTACCACTGTCTCTCTTGTCTTCATTCTGTCCTGTGAGTATAAGATTTTCCAAGCCCTCTTTCCTCATTATATGCCCTAGAAACATCAACTGTCCATTCCTGATGTTAAGCATACGTTTCTTTTTTGTTTTTCTAAACCTTCGTCGTTGCTCACATGTTTGGTCCATGGTATCCTCATCATCCTTCTGTAGAACTACATTTCTCTTTTCTTTGTTTCTAAAGAAATCCTTCTCTTTCTCTTAACACAGTAGAATTACTGACAACCGGACTACGAAGAACTTCTGGATAAGAAGAATTGGTTACAAAGTCCGGATGTCAGTTGTCATATTTAGATTATAATAAAAGAACTTAAATCAGGTTTAACATGTATTTTCAATGTTTTATAGTAAATAAAATAAGCTAATGGTGGATGAAATATAATGGAAATGATTTTAAAGAAAAAGAAATAAATTATGTTAATGAAAATTCATTAAATTAAGTACCGTTAAGTTCCCCATGTATAATACGCCTTCATCCAAAATACGCACCCCGAAAATTGTGCTGAAAGTGTGGAAAAATGCTTCTACACGTGCATAATACGCATCAACCCCTATAAATTGTACCTCTCCAATTTCAGCTTTTCCTACTCTTATTTTTAAAAAAATGGTTTTAAACATAGAATAATATTATTCCAATTTAGTTTTATGATAATTCTTATTTTATTTTACGGCAATTTTTAAAGATTTTTTTGTAGCTATGCATAATACGAACCCCTGATTTTGCTTATGATTTTTTAGAAAAAAATACCTATTATACATAGGGAATTACCCCATGTCACGTATGCAAAACAAATAATGTAACGAGGATTTTTAATCGCTGTTGCATGATGATTCTTTCTCTTCTAATGCCCTTCACAATTTTATCCGCATTTCGTTTTGCTTTTGTTCTTGAAATTTTTTAAACGAAAGACACTTTTTCAACTGTCTGTGCATTATTGCAATCGTCACAGCTGAATGATAGCTTTCTTTCCATAAAACTGATAACCTTTTTAATAGATTCTTCAATTTTAATTCAGGTTTCATCACAATCACGTTTTTTTTTCTTTCCTTCTACATTGCGACAGTGTGAACGCTAGGGAATAGTTTCCTTGGAAGATTTTATATCATACAATGTTGACTTTCCTATGTTGAACTCAGCCATTAGTTATAATGAACTTTCACCAGCGTCTAGTCTGTTTAAAATTTCCACTTTTTGCGATAACTCCAAAGTTGTTCTTTTCCTCCTATTCCCATCATTTTTTGCTCCAATACAAGCCATTTGCGTGAAATAAGCATAAGCAATTATCCAAAGTAAATTTCCTGATCAACAAATTTTAAATCAGTTACATATCACCCAAATAGTTCAAATATACACATCAAAATCATGTCCGGATATGCCGGATTCCGGATATGAGGCACTCCGGACATGCGGGATTCCGGATATGAGAGATTCCAGATATGAGGGATTCCGGATATGAGGGATTCCGGATATGAGGGATTCTACTCTATTCTGCATAGCTTTTGAAATATATCTTTCGTTATCCGTTTTCTATTAAAACACTTTCCAAATATTTAAAATTCTGTACTTATTTGATTTTGACATACCTAACTCGTATTATTATTATTATTATTATTATTGGGTACATAAGTTATAACTTACATTGAAGATCAAGTGACAGTAAGTCTTCACGGTATTCCAGCATCTTCCTTCGCATTCTATCTGTTTTCAATAATACTCTCACGATGAATAACTGAATGAAGACTACTCTCTCTCTCTCTTTCTCTCTCTCTCTTTCTCTCTCCTTCTCTCTCTCTCTCTCTCTCTGATCTCTGATATCGCTTCATTCTACTTTTATTGAACTGAGAGTCAAGGTATGCGTGTGAGGCAGTTTCGGTGACGTCAGATAGTCGAATTGATGAGTCAAGTCGAACTGAGAAAAAAGTCATTGTGAGGAAAACAGGCGTTACTTTTCAAATAAGCAGCATTTCTTTATTGATTTTTGATGTCAACGGTGTTCACTAAAAGATACGTGCGTGGCATTTGGGTGAAATCGGACAGTCAATTTGGCGAGGCAATCGGATACGAAGAAATTCACGAGAAACAAGTGGTACTCAGTCTACGAGAACAGTTTATTACAACCTCCTCCCTCGACAACTAAATGGACTTAACGACGCCGGTTCTCCTTACGATCTCGCTTCTTTCTTGGAGCTGCAGTTAGACTCCTTGGAACCATTCCCCGTGCTCCAACAACAACGGAGGCAACTCTCACTTCCACAATTTCTCCAATCATTTTGTGAACTTAGATATTCATTCTTTTCACATACTTAGAGTTTCATTTATTCATTAAAAGCATTTCAGTGTTCAAGTTAAGTTTTGATATTTTTCCTGTTTTTCGCAATCTTTCAGCTTCTTTCTTTTTTTTCAGTACTCAAGAAAGGTCTTGATATTTCATATCCTTGCAGGTTCATTCATTCTTAAAAAAGGTTATCTGTTTTCAAGTTAGCTCTTGATATTTTCAATTTCTTTCCTTCTTCTTTCTTAGATTTTTCCTTTCGTAACTACCATTTCTTTCTTTCTTTCGTAACTTTTATTTATCTTTTTTTGTTTTCTTTCTTTCTTTTTTCTTTTGTAAATTTTCTTTCTTCATTTGTTTTTTATTCTTCGTAACTTCTGTTTCGCTTTTTCTTTCTTTTTTCTTTCATAACTTCTATTTATTTAGTTTCTTTCTTTTTTCGTAACTTTTATTTCTTTCTTTCTTTCTTTCTTTCTTTCTTTCTTAACTCTAATTTATTTTCTTCCTTTTTTCTTTTTATGACTTCTATTTTTCTTTCTTTTTCGGAACTTCTATATCTTTCTTTCTTTCTTTTTTCTTTCTTTCTTTCTTTTTATTTCTCTTTATTCCTTTTCCTTTCATTATTTTTTCGTAAATTTTCTTTCTTTCTTTCTTTCTTTCTTTCTTTCTTTCTTTCTTTCTTTCTTTCTTTAACGGTTTGTCAGTTCTTTTTCTTCTAGTCCCTGCTCTTTTTCTTCTCTCTATCTATTTTATTTTCTTCTTTCATTCTTCTTTTAAGATGATATTTTCCCAATTCTTTTTCCCCCGTTTGTTTTCTCTCCTCACCACCCCCCAGTTCTCACTCTCCTTTGTAAATTATTCTGCCTCCTTCCTTTTCCCCACTCTCTTTCCGTCTCCTCCCACCCTTTCCAAACTCCTTTTATTTTCTGCCAAACACATTCTTCGACGTAGTCTCTGATTGTCTTCTTCCTTTTCATTTTACCATATTCCCTTTGTCTGTCCTTCTCGCCTGCTTTTCAGTCTACCATTTTCATCTTCTTTCCTCCAGGAACCAAAACTGTCATCCTTCGTTGCCACTGGCATTCTGATGTAGCGATAACATTTCCACATTTTCTCCCGCATCATCATCAACACCCCAACGCCGCCGCCGCCGCCGTTGCCACGCGTTGAGCAAAATGGTGGACACTTCTTTGCCGGTTGCAGAAGAGAAGTGTTATTATCTTATCAGTAGGGAGAGGCTGACCCGAGAAAAAAATGGAAGAAGGGACGAAAATGGAGTGATGAGAGGAAAAGGACGAGAAAAAGGAATATGAAATAATAATAATAATAATAATAATAATAATAACGTAGGTAGAAAGGAGGATGAAAAATAAATAAAAAAGAAAAAATAAAGAAAGGTATAAGGAAAAGAACCAAAGAACGGAAGATAATAATAATAATAATAATAATAATAATAATAATAATAATGTGAAAATATAAGAAACAATGTAAAAGGAAGAGAATGATAGAATGATAAGAACGAAAAAACGGTACTACTACTGCTAATAATAATAATTCAAATAATAATAATAATAATAATAATAATAATAATAATAATAATAATAAGAAGAAGAAGAAGAAGAAGAAGAAGAAGAAAACGACGAAGAAGAAGAGAAAGGGGAGGAAAAATTAAGTACAGAAAAAATAATGAAAAAGGGCAAAAGAAAATGAAGGATATAAAGAAGGAACTACTACTACTACTATCACTAATACTACTACTACTACTAATAACAATTGTACTCCAATGTGACTTTATTTTGAGTGTTACTCTCTTACTCAAAAATAATATTAATAGTAGCAGTGATTAATAAAAAAGAGGCGGGAAAGAAGAAGAAGAAGAAGAAGAAGAAGAAGAAGAAGAAGAAGAAGAAGGAGGAGGAGGAGGAGGAGGAGGGAGAGGAGGAGAAGAATATGTAGGAGGTGAAAGAAGAAAGGAAAAGAGAGGAAATAAGAAAAAAAGAAAGAAATGAATAATAATAATAATAATAATAATAATAATAATAATAATAATAGCAGAATCCCAGCGGCTGTAACAGCCAAAAACTACGACTAAAAACAAACAAAAGAACAGTTTTTAATCAACGGAAAGAAAACAGAAATATTAAAGAAAAAATGAATGAAGGACAATAAAAAGTAACAGAATCTCTCAAAAGGTGTATAAAACAAAACAAAAAGGATATAAAACAATCAATTAGTCTGTTTATATATATATATATATATATATATATATATATATATATATATATATATATGTGTGTGTGTGTGTGTATATAATAAAAATAAATAGTAAGAAAAGCAGCACTTGTCACATTCCTTTCTTGTATTCAATTTTCTTTGCATATATCTTCATTTCTTGCGGATTGCTATACAACTACATATGCAGATATGATTAAGTTTACACGGATTTTTGTCGCCATCAAACTTTCCCTAAGCTTTTCTTTTCGGTCAGTGCAAAAGTAAGCACGCACGCACACACACACACATATATATATTAAAGGTAACAAATCCGTTGGTATATAATCCAATTGGGTCCTAGTAATATAAAATGTTAAAACTGATCCACAAAAAGAGCTCAATACATTTATTATTACAGAGCAAATAATTAATAAACAATAACATCCAAAATCACCTCATATGGGGAATAGACTATTTCGGCTGACGAAAATATCGATCGTCTTGTCAGTAACCTCGGCATGGACTGAGTTCGTGCTCGAAATAGAAATTTAACTGTGAAAGCTTAAAAAAAACGGTCGAAAAAATAATACAGAATTTATTGATTTCAATGTTTCAGTCAGACGAAAGGTATATATATATATATATATATATATATATATATATATATATATATATAGAGAGAGAGAGAGAGAGAGAAAATAAATAATTCGTTACCTCTTCCTCACCGAGAACTGTTGGTACAGTTGGTATAGCATTTGCCTCCTACCGTAACTTCAGGTTTTAATTCTCGGTAGTGGATGCGCATGGCTGATGAGTCCCAAATATAGGCCGAAACGGCCGTCCAGTGCTTTCTGCATTCTGTTGAGGTTTCTTCTAGACTCAACGGTGAATTATTTCATTATATATATATATATATATATAAGTCAACACTTAGAGGCGACAGTCTGTTTCATGCTAGAGGCAATCGTGGCCTGACGATTGCATCTAGCCTCTAAGTGTTGACTTCTATGTTCACTTTTATATTTACATACGCAGTATCTCTGTTATTAAGCACTTTATCCCATAAATATAGCACATCTTAAGACTATATTTCTTTATATATATATATATATATATATATATATATATATATATATATATATATATATATATATACCCAAGAATAAATACATGTTTGTTCGTTAATGGTCAATTTTCAATTTGTTTCTGGGTATTGCCACGTACATGACAGAGTTGCAGAAAATAGTGAGGGACAATTGCGCAATATTCTTTTTACTTTACATCGTGTATCAATCTATTACCACAGCACTGACTGTATGCTAGAATTATTCGCCCTCTTCCACCATTAGAAATAAAGCTGTCATGCCTAAAATTTTCGTGGAAACTTCGAGTGCATTTTTTTCACAAATCATGAAAGAATGGATTTGAAAGAATGTACAGTGATGCCCACAACAATTTTTTATTTTAATGTTAAACAAATGTTATACAAAATCACCCAAAAACATTTAACGCAGGACAAAATTATTGCCTCAATAATCAATTGTGTAACGTTTATTTTTGATTATTGCCTTTAATTATTTCTATAGCTCCTTACAAGATCACTACATACACTGACGGTTATTTTAATCCATTCTTCCTTTTCAATAGCTTCTAGTTCCTCCAACTACAAAGGACTTCTTTCTCTACCTTTTTTCTTCAAATATGCCCATAAAATTTCAATAGGGTTTAGGTCAGGACTTAGGGTGTTGTTTGCCAATGTCTTAATTTTGCTATTATCTAAATATTCCGTAACAATTCGTGCGATGTTTTTCCGGTCATTGTTATGTTGCAATCTCCAGTGACCCCGCAAAGACATCTTTCATACACTTTGTTTTATATTATTTTCAAGAATAGGCAAATCTGATCTTTATCCATAATATCCTGTACTCTCACAAGTTCTCCTCATCGAAAAACAGCAAAACATCCCCAGAACAAAATGCTCCCACTATTGTGCTTAATTGTAAGGGAAGTATTTTTGGTTTGTGAGCTACATTCACTTTCATCCATACATAATGGGAGTTCATGTGACCAAATAATTCTAATATGGTTTCATTTGACCATAAAACAGAGTGTCAATATTTGCTCCCATGTTCTGGATCGTTTCTATCATAAGCTTATCTGCATTTTAGTTGTTTAGCCTTAAACAATGGAGTTTTCCTTGGGTGACAAGCTCAATGTCCTGATCAATGAAAGCATCTAGTGACTGTCTTCGTCGATACATTCAACGTCGATGTCTTTTACATCATTGACAACGTCCTTTTTCGTTAAGTGAGGATTCTTCAAGACATCTCTAACAATTTCCCTTTCCATTCTTTCAGAAACGAACGGTTTCTGCCAGCCATTAATTTATTCTCAACACAATGAGTCTAGTACTTCTTGATAAATGCTAAGAATTATTGAACTAGTAACATTTAAACGCATGGAAATGGTTGTATATCCATCACCTTCTTTGTACGCATCGACTATCTTCAATCGGAGCTTCTTGTCAAGTACAGCCGTCTTCGCCATGGTTGCAGAACGAATGAATTATCATGGTACGTGGCACTCACATCACTTCGTTACCTTTTAGAATGTTATAGAATCAGGTCAATACTATTTCATTTTCAGTGTTTGTATTAAATGTCCAATTAAGAAAAAAAAAAAAAAAAAAATTACAATTCCCATAGAGAAATATTATTTCATAATTTCCATGAGAGGGTGAGTAAATTTGATCACCAATTTAAAAAAAATCTATAATCATTTTTATGTTTATACATTCTTTTTATAGATACAAATATTCAAGTAAATGCTCTGTTTTATAATAAACAGTATTAATAACATTTACCGGCCTGAATGTCCGAGAAATTTTCATAGAAAATATTCGTCCTCCGACAGGAATCGAACCTGTAATATAGCCTGACGTGCCTTAACCGATTGGGCCACAGAGGATCGTTCGGTTAGCAAGGTCGATTTAAACTGCTTTTAAACTACAATCTTTCATGAATATCTCACGTACATTCATATCTGCTCAAAGCGTATCCAGATGTAAACAAATGACATCACACATTATGAAATGGACAAAGACTGACAATTATTTTAAGACATTTTTATGTTTATACATTCTTTTTATAGATACAAATATTTAAGTAAATGCTCTGTTTATAATAAACAGTATTAACAACATTTTACCGGCCTGAATGTCCGAGAAATTGTCATAGAAAATATTCGTCCTCCGATAGGAATCGAACCTGTATCTTAAACGGAACCGTCATTTAGCCTGACGTGCCTTAACCGATCGTTCGGTAAGCAAAGTCGATTTTACTTCTTTTAAACTACAATCTTCCACGAATCTCTCACGTACATTTCATATCTGCTGAATGCGTATCATTATATATATATATATATATATATATATATATATATATATATATATAGATAGATAGATAGATAGATAGATAGAGAGAGAGAGAGAGATGTAGATTAAAGGCTTCAAAGTGTATTTATTTTGGTAATCGCGTCGAGCTCTCTGTTTTTTAGAACCAATTCTACTTCTTACCATTTTACAAGAGGAATCAGAGAGCCGGGTTCGAATTCCAGTCGAATCCATTACATTAACTTACGTGTTAATACGCTCGGGAACAGTATGAATCCTCTTCTTCTTCCCCTCTCCCAGCTATAGGTAAATAGCAGGGTAGACCGGCAACCTACTGCGGTGGGAAAAAAAACTGCATCGTCAGTCATGTATCGAAATATACATGATCGCCTAAGCATAACTGACTGACTGTATCTATTTTTAAAATTTAGTGCTCTGTTTTTGGCTCTAAACAAAGATTTATTGGCGAGACTTCGTTGCAAAAGTTTCCTTCCTGAAAATACATAAGTGTGAAACCATTTTCTGTCAAGAGAACAAGGTCTGCAAACAGTGGATGAGAGAGAGA